CACCAGTTTTGCTCGTCTCGCCGACGAACACACTCCGGGGGCATCTGTTCCCCGTGGCACCATTTTTAAAGTCTTTGGTATGACTTTCGAAAGCAAATGGCTCTTCTCCCAAATGAACCATACCACCGATTCAGGATTGGTAGCCTTTGACTGGGGTACCCGGGATTGTGACACCCGTAGCCTCGCAACGCGAAACCCCCCTGGGTTCGTTGGTACGGTAATCTCCACATCGGAATCTGCGTAAGCACATGTCCTACACAGGTTCCCATGCGAAGCATCCCTGTTAATTCAAGCCGACATGGAAACCCCTAAGGGCCCCCATGTCACCACTTAAGGTCTAGCCCCGCGACAAGGACAGCAACGTTTCGCTAGACAGCATAAGAGACAATCGAGACTACCTCTGGTGGTAGAGGGAGCGTAGAAATTTAAATGTTGAACAGTAGTGGGGAAAGGGCGCCACCCTGTTGAACTCGCTGTTTTATTTTCCTAGGTTTGCTCGATTTGTCTCTAAAGATCACTGACGACCACTCAGGTATTTCGCAGCCCACCGTTTGTCTTCTAGTAGCGTCACTTGAATAGTTCTATATAGCTATCGGGCGAGAAGACTCTCCTTTGTTGGACGGTTTCCCCGGTGGACAATCACCTCACGGTTGACCAAAGCTTGCTCACACCAGAGGCGAAGTTACAGGTCTTCAGATGGTCTTCCCACTTCTTCCGCTTATGTACGTTCACTAGTTGCCGAATCTCCGAGTTGAGATCCCTAATACGGGGATTTACGGGATCGGCCTGGCGAAGGGATTAACCTTTTTGTTATTAAATTTGTCGTTACAGTTTTGAATTTGGAAGGAATTGGTTTTAAATTTTGTTCACTCTACAAAGACACAAAATTGTTCACTCTATAGAGTACTCAATGGAAAAATTTTCATGTTCACTCTTTCGAGGTGTTCGTAGCATCGGGTGTTCACTCCAGCCAGATAACACTGTAATATAAATTATATGTTTTTTCTGGCTTGTAGTTTTCGAGACATCACCAGAAAACGGGTTTCTGTTAAAGAAGAAAGGGCGGACCCCTATTTTGTGAAATTCTTTGTAGATATTTTGTAAATGTGTAATATATTGCAACATCATTTGCAAACGAAATATGGCAAATTTAGTTACCTTTCGTATGACATGTCACTTTTTTTTGATGGGTTAACCGATTCTCGAGATAGTAGAAATTTTTGTGGTCGACCTTTTTCTCTTTACTCAAAAATTGCAATGTGACGATATCTTGAAAATTATGCCAATTTCGGCCTCAGCGACCGATTTTACATGGGAATTGGATGGTCTCGTTTTTGGGGTTTTTCTTAGTGTAAACTAGTGTAATCGATTATAAAGCAAAACAAGAATAAGAACGGGAAAGAGACCTTAAACACTGAACCACACAGATGAGCTAGAAAACCGGTATGCAAGTCATTTCAACCTACCGTAACTTAGTTTACGTTTTCTGCTTAGCCCTCTGATTACTGCCTCATATAACTCACTTACTTTAACATTACATAATAAATACTTAACTCCATTGATTGATATATGTAAATAACTATGAGTGTTAGGACCAAATAAGCAAAACCATTATTCCTCTTTACAAAATAATATTATGTTGCTATAATTAACAATAATCAGAAAATATAATTCGCTACCAAGCAAGCCCAGATAACTATGAATTTTCTCTTCGAAATAACTCGTGCAGACTGGCATAATGTGAGAGAACAAGACTATTTAGCAAATTGTGGGTTCCGCATAATAACTTCCTCCCTCACCCACTCTCCTCATTGGCTAACGAGTTGTTTCGAAGATTATTTCTGTTTAACAGCTAACCAAGCACAATTGCCTTGGAGCAGTGATTTGTGTGCGTAAATGGGGAAATCACTTGTGTCATGAGCAAATTTGTGCTCCAATTAGGTGAAGTAGTAATCGTGGTATCCTACATACATACGTACTTACGAAGGTTCGGGATGAATGGCACTCGTAGCTGGTGAGGCCACTGAACCAACTAAACAATCAAACGCCTTGGGTATTTCTAAAACTTTTGTAAATAGCAATCACACAATTTCAGTGGTTTGTGCAAATTGCCAAAGAATTATTATGTAAATGGATAAATTGAGTTTTTGGTTGTACCAAAGCAAAGCTTTGCGAGACTGATGCCAACAGTGTATTTCATTAGGAAGATGGAAATGGTGAATATTTGCCCAAAAGTTTGCGTGAGATCGTTTGGTTAGTCAAGGAAAATGTTTGAATTTTCTTTTCTTAACTCGAGGGAATAAATTGTACAGTTTGTTTGAGAGCTTATGCAAAAAGATGTGCAATGACTTCTTAGTTACGGTATACATTAAAACAAAGGTTGGCAGCCCTCACCGCGCGGGATGTATCAGGTCTTGCTTATTTCCATTCTTATTGGCACCATCATATAATAAAAATCAATATGTAATTACAAAATATTTTATTCGAAGCTACCTGGTCGTATAAAAAGGTTGCGGATTCTTTATGTAATAAATAACAACTAAATTTCAATTTCAGGCTTCTGCTGTTCTGCTGTTCGTTGATATTGGAATTACATATGTATGTACGGACATACATATAATGCATCTCTGTTATCGGCTATAAAACCTGAAACAAAATTGCTGATCCCAAAAAATGTATTAATTAATTAACGCAGCCAATAATATTTTGCACAAAAAAGAGCCCTTGGCAATGGTATGTACATACATACATACATACATGTGTACATATAATGCTGCCCCAAATAACCTTGGACATTGCTCGTGGGTATAGCAAGCACGCACTTTTCGAAGGTCAGGTAAAGTTAAGGAGGGATCAAAGTTGAATTGAATTTCAATTAACAACATTTTTTGGTAATTAACGCAAACTAAATAGACGCATTGAACGTGAAAAATTCTGTGGTGTACCAATAAAAAAATTTGGGTCAGACAACATTATACAAATACATATGTATGTACATACACTCCGCTTCGCTTGAATAGGTATACATTTTTTCTTCAAGATCCGAGCTTATATCTGCACTTGTGGACATCAGATTAATTTCGTTTTAATTTCATTTTGAAGAACGATCATTTTCTAAAAGAAAAGTGGTGAAGAAAACACTTCGTTTATTTTGGATTTTATTCCACTTGAATAGGCACAGTGGCTTTAACACAAGGAAAGGACTACATTGAATCAACAATTGTACTATATAACACTTTAAGTGTTAGTTACTACATCCTTAAATTTAATGTACGGAAAAAAACCCCTAGCCAGAATACAGTTCTAGGCGCGTTTTGAAAATTCAAGGACATCTCGCTGCTTTATTCGCCGGGAAGAACAACTGCCAATGTCATGGATTGTCTGACTCGCAAATTTTGCAAACATCTAATTTCAAACATTTTTCATTGAGTTTAGGTGCTAAGAATAGAAAGAACGCTAGAAATACTACTCTGCTTCGTCATTCTCGTTTTTACAGTTCTGCAGTGCGAATCGGTGCGTAAGTTTGTAAAAAAAATGTCCTTAATACTTTTTTTGCATGATTTTTTCGTAATTTTGAAAACTTAAAATATTATCTGAACTGATCTAAAAGATTTTATATCTTATTGTACATACTACATAATTACTTTTTTAGTTTTTAATAAAATGAAATGAAATTCGTAGTAAATATACCATGTGGTGCCATGAACGCCAACGCTTTTCTTTAATTTTGGTCCACTATCTCGACAATAAGATGCTGACCTCGTAATGGACTTTTTCTTATTTCAGTCTAGCTTTTGTGTTCTGGCACTTCTGTTCATGCGATTCTGTGTGCCGGCTTCAGCTGTCAAATACATTAGCATTTTCTTCAGATTTATTTCCAACAGATGGCCTGCAAAGTTCTGGATCCGTGAAGTCCTTCATTTAAGCATTTCTTGCAGTTAAGAGTTCGCCTGCTTCGCCCATTTTTGCTCTGTTTTAGTTCTAAATGTCCTTTAAATTCTTAAGAAGAATGCTACGCGTACATGCGTCTATTCAAGTGGATCAAAATAGTAAGCATTTTCGTGTAGTTTCATAAAGGGTGAAATAAAATGCAAAGTGATCAAAGCGTTTTCTTAATTTTCACCACTTGTCTTCGAAATTGACCATTCTTCAAAATAAGTTTAAAATGAAGCTTCTCCAATGCCCACAAGTCCACATATAAACTCGTTTCTTGAAGAAAAAATGTGTCCCTACTCAAATGAAGAGGAGTATCTGTATATAAGTATATACATAGGTGTATGGTTTGCTACATATAATTGAGTTTAGCGCTCTTTGAATATAAAAAAATAGAATTGTATAAGGGAAAGGATGAAAAAAGATGGCGTTTAGGGGTTTATTAAACGAAATTACCATATTATGCACATATCGATGGTGCTGTGCAATAACGACACAATTCAAAATTCAAAAAACAAAAACTGTTACTACTGTTAAGTGGTTCTTGTCTCTAATCCTTGTCGAATCTATTTCCTCATTTCCATCCCTTACTAAAGTAAGCGGTAAGGATTGCTAAAGTGAGTACAGAAGATTAGACATGAATTCGACAAGGATTAGAGACGTGGGCCACTTAACAGTAGTAACAGTTTTTATTTTTTGAATTTTGAATTGTGTCGTTATTGCACAGGACTATCGATATGTGTAAAATCTTCGGGATTTTCCTTTTATTTATTTATTTATTTTTTTTTAGGAAATTTGCTAAGCTATATTGTTCGAAATTATCAAAAGTGGCCGTTAACAGATTTTTGCCAAAAACGGTTTAATTTGACCTTTGGCCCCGCGGATAGGGACTTTTCTCATGTTGTTTAAAAGCACAAAAGGAAGTGCCAATGCAAAAATTCAACCTCCCTCTAATTATTTCGAAGTAAAATGTCTTTATTCCATGTACTATTATGTAAATAAAGAAATTGCTTAATCTTTCCTGCCTAACACTTTTTTCTCAGATATTTGTAATTAAACGCACTTACCTTTAAGCGACTGCTCTTTCCAGATTTTTTTATTATCATTGAGACAAGTGAGCCATGGTTTTCGTATACTAAACTTTGGCGTCACTTTTCCACCAGCAGGCTTTCCGCTACCCTCCTCCTGTTGCGTAGCTGTTGATGTGCCGCCTTCGTCGATGCTTGAGCTTAACCGACTGCGTGCGCTTGCCGACGCACCATCAACCGGCACATCGCCAGCATCTATACTCGCATTTGTTGTCTTGCACATTGGCGCTAACGGTGTCAACACATATTCCAGCATATCGGACATAACCGATAGACTGGGATCCACAATGAAATCAATAAAACCGATTTGTGACTCTGGAAATAGTATATTGTTACGATCACACATCGGGCTAAACGGCAGGCCAAGTTCGCGCTCCAGATCACCCTGTCGAAAGAATTCTTCGAATAACAACATCGTCCAGCGATGGTGGAGATTCCAACGTTTTGCCGGATGCGAAATATCACAACAATGTAGTACCAATGCCATCGCTTTGGACTTATCCACCGACGCTTCGTTGAGCGTCAGCAGATTGCGCATATTCTTAAGTTGTTGAAAATGGAAGGACATATCGGTGGCCAGCACCATGTCAATGATGAGTGTACGAAATTCCCGAAACTCTTCGCGTGATAAATTGTTCAGTATATTGCAATCGTCCTCTTTGAGCAAACGAAAAGCGGCGCTCACATGATGATTCTCCAAAACGGCACGATCATTATAGAGTAGTGCCTTTTCCGAACCGGACATTACGTGGAAGTTGTTCGTGGTGCCGGTATGTTCAAAATCATGTATGAGCGCGGCAAGCAAAGTGGCGAAGATCTCCAAGTCAGTCAGCCAATTCATGAGACCCGTTTGGCAGAGTATATAGTGCGTCGTTTGGGTAACATCGGCCGCATGAATGTTGTTGTGATATGGATTGCGATAGCGGCAGTAGCCCTCTTCGACGCGATTCAAAAATATTTCCAATGTGGCAGGTGCTATCTTGAATTTATGTATGATGCCATAGCGATTGAGCAAATCGTAGCTGAGGTATTTGATTGGTTGGCCGCCAGCTGCTTCCGCTAGGGCGAACACATCAAATGACCAGTCATCCAAGTTCTGTAAAGAAAATGAAAATATTAACGAAAGAAATTGAAATAACTAGGTAATCTTTACAAATATAAAGTATTCCTTAAGGGACTATAAGGTATGGCAGCGTGGAGCTGCAATGTGAATGCATCACCTTTTTGTTTTTGTTGTTAATGCATGTTTGGTGATTTGAATACAAGCGAGTTCTAACCAGGGTTGGATAAAGGATTTTTCAAATTGTACCAAATTGGTCTGGAATAAATGAATGCCGAAAACGGGAATTGTTTCCGTGCTTAGACACGATTTATTTCACGAAAAAAGGAGTAGAAGTAGGCCACATGATTGTAAAGTAGGGGCCATTAAAGAACTAATTCAGAATTCTAGCGAACCACTCTTAAAACAATTGAATAACCTAGGTATTTCATTAAGCTGATTAGTATAGGGGTTCCGAGTTTCTTTTTTCAGAACATCACTATTGACTTCTAAGAAGTGAGGAGCATACAATATATAGCGTGGATGCAACAGTACGACAATTCACAACGGACAGCCGAGAAATTATATACCCTACTCTCAATCAGTGCGACCGCGGGCTTGTGAAAAATTGTAGCAGAAAAGAGACTTAAAATGTATCAATATGTATCACTTTTTTTCATTTAAGTATCAAAGCATAAATATGGTATAAAACCAATAATTTTTATGAAAAACCATTTTCCAAAACAATTTAACATTTGTTGCACGAGCAAGTTGAAATTATTTCTCGAATGCGATTTGCGTAATAACCACCAGCACGCTTTCTATCAAGTGAAAATATGGCTGTCAAACTATCAAATTGCCTGCAATAGATGTCAAGCAATAAGGCGGTATCCATTGGAAATATATTTTGTGACATGGTTATCACGACATTGGAGTTTTCCTGAGGAAACAGGGCCCTACCGAGCACCGAATTACCGAGTACCAAGCCCTAATTTTTGTTATTGAACATAGCGAAAATAAAAAAATGCAGCGCTGTTCACATTTTGACGTTTTTCGACATGGACCATGAATCACAATACATGAAAGGTTCGTTCAGAGAACGACAATGAACTTTTGGATGTACATTGCCAAAGGTGCACGACATGTTTTGTAATGCATACAAATTTACAGATGTTTTCATTTGTATTTGGAAAAGTATCAAAATTGAAAAAAAAGTATCTCTCCAAAATTCATCGAAAAATGTATCAGTTTTGATCCACTTGGATCAAAACGGTCACACTGCTCTCAATCCTCCTACTAAAGCTGATGACATAGAGCTGGTAGGACGCATGCCCGAAGATTACCTAAGATTCCTATAAGCCTCGTGGTCTTCAGTGAGTGGTGGGGGAATAAGCGAAGTGCATGCCAGCAAGTACGCACACCAGCAGCAGAGTTAAAATTGATGCACAGAATTTCTTTCGTGCTCATCAGCTCAGCCCTTAACTCAGCTATAAGCTGCCTATCCACTCGAAGCCTTATCGCAAACGAAGTCAGAACAGTACTTTTTGGGAAGTTCTCATTTATTCGCATTCAATAAAACATATATGTAAATACTCATTTGCCATGACTAAGTACTTACCTTAAGTATTTGGACAACTTCAGGCGGAAATTGCATGAGCGCCGTACGCGAGACGCTACGATATATTCGATCCACAAATATACCAGCGCGTATTGCATGGGCAACAGTACGAAATTTCGGCTTCTCATCGTTTCGTCTGCGTGTAGTCGCTGATTGCCGCGTAAACGTGGAGGCCAACCACTCACGCACCTCAGGTGGTACAGCATCTGGTTGCACCTCGGATAATTCGTCATCTTCGTCGGCGAGGCGTCTGTGAGTTGGGTAGTTTTGGAATTGATGAGGGAAAGGTGGATAAGGGTAAGTTGGAGGAGAAAAAAGAATACCAGAAATTTATTAGTATTTGTATTGTATTCAATGTTTTTATTGTGAAAAAAAAATGTAAAAGAAATTAAAACAAAATTATTTTCTACAATTTTTAATATGATTACGAGTTAATACATAAAAAGAATGAAAACTTAAATATTTTTGTTGAACAAAAACAGAAAATAACACAAGAACTGCAAAAGCTAAAAAGAAAGAAAAAAACAAAACAGCAGAAAGGGATTCTTAACTTTTACGCATTCGAAATTAAAGGAAAGTATAAATAAGTTTGCATCACAGCGCAAAAACTCAAACATTTGCGAAGTTTTGTACATCACTCTCGTGTGTTTCGTATTAATTCGGTTTTATTGTTTTCACATTGGAGAGAGGAGGACGTACATAGTATTTAGGAGGTTAGTGCCAGCAGTGGCAAGCGGTAACGGAAGTGAAAGTGCGAAAATGCAATAATAGTTAGTAAACAGAAATTTGGTTTGAGTTTTGAGTTTATTTTTGGTAGAGCTGATTTGTTTGTGTGTACTTGTGCGCTTTGTTTTGGCACAAACCGCCGCCCCACAGCACATGGCTTAAGCTGCTGCTGCTGCTTAATAAGAGCGTGTAAATTTTGTTGTTTTTTGCTGCAGGAAGTACAAAAAGCAAACACAGAGCATGAAACACAAGTGAATGCACAAAAAATCAATTAAAAGTGTTGGGAAAGTAGAATAAAGAATAAACAAAGTTAGATTAAAAAAAAAAGAAAATGTATAAACTTTTTATTTATGTACAGTGTAGAAAGGAGTATTACATTTTTAATTACTTATGTAAGTATTTATTTATGTTCACATGTGTGTAAGTATGTACAAATGTAAGTAAGTGCTTGACAAAGCTGTCATTAATCTAACTTTTAAGTGAACGAATTCGCATTGCACGGCAACTGACTGACTGATTATATGTACATGTGTATGTCTGTGTTGAAATGCAAATGCGTTTGTGTTTATGTATGTGAAAGTGCAAGAAAGTACAGCGCAGCAATTAGAAAGTAGTTAAGAGTAGTTAAGGTTGCTGTATACATATATGTACGTAAGTACATAAGTATATACTCATAGTTAGTAGTTTGAGTGGAAAGTGCAGTTAAAGGGAAAAGATTTTAGCGCAAACTTAAATTCAAATTCGCGAATTTTTTTGTATATTCGTTACAAAGAAGGTGCCATGTACTTGCGGCAGAAACTAAGGCTGGGACTAACCGTAAATTCGAATATGCGTTCTGGTATTCGTGTATACGGATAAAATCCGAATATCTGTTCCCCGGATATCCGTTAAATAACCGGTTATTCGGATTTTTTGATCAGTTATTCGAATATTGGAATACGAATTATTTGCATATTCAAAAAATCCGGATAGAACTTCCAGTGCTACGCAGTGTGGCGACTAGTAAAAGCTAGGTGGACAAAAGTCAATGTTGCACAAGAAATACTCCAAAAGAAACATCAATGCAAATTATTTTTGTAGAATATCAGTAAATAAGCAGTATGAAGATTCAAATAGTAAGGAAGATGGTGGTATTATTTTTGAAAACTGAGAGCGAACCTTATAGTTCCATTCACATTTTTATGTTTTAATGAGTTCTACATATAAGTTTTATTTTAAATTTAAAACGTGTACTGTTTTCTAAAGATTTTGAAATTTCTGTATACAGATTTATGCCCATACATATGTATCTTTTGAAAGTTTTGAAAAGTATTACTCTTTTTTAATTTGAAAACCAGAAATATTTTTTTTAAGGCATAAGATATTTTAAAATATATAATAAACATATTCTTTAAATTCCCTTTCTAAAGAATTTTCATTCGGCACTATAGCTGTTGTATTTTAAAACGTTTACCACAAAGTTTTGGGTCAATGGGGTATTTCCGACCCCAGTTATAGACATTTTTTTTTTTTTTAGTTTCTTCCTTATTTATCTATCTAAAACACTAATAAAATAATTTTGTCCAGCTAGCTTTTTCTATTCGCCACACTGTGCGCAAGTACCAACGATTTTCTTCCAAAAACACAAAACAAAAATCGTTAAACAGCAGGAATTTAAGTTGCAAGAGTGAAAAATTTCTTCTGTTTGTTGGTGTTGTTTCTTTTTTTTTATTGTGCCTTAAAATTTGTGAGTGTAGTGTTAGGTTACACACACAGTGTATGCGATCTTTTGTGGTTAGTACAAAACCAGTGTGTATTTATTTACATCCATATTAGTATTTGGTAAAAATTTGGGCATTGAGCTATTTTTTTTTTCAAAATATTTTGAACGCATTCGTGCAAAGCCTATGTAGTATTTTTAAACTTTTTTCACACACATACATATAAACAATTTTTTTTTTGCTACAAAACTTTAAACTATGTAACTCGCACAAAATAAACAGAAAAATTCTATAAACTGCAATAAATTTTCATAAAAAACGCAATTCCTCAAATTCCGCCGTTGGCATAACTTGCTACCATAGCTATTTACATATCGATATACATATTTATTTGCCCAGCAGAAATACATGCACACACACAAACCAAAATACTACAAAATGCGCTATGTTGCATTCAACTATATTTATTTTTCATGTTATTAAATTTTAAAGGACTTTTGGCATTTTAAAACAATAATAAAAAAGTACACTCGTATTTGCGGAAATACAAAAATCTCCTCAAGCTCTCTGAAAAAAAAAAAAAAACGTAAATAATCAAGCATGTTTCGACATTCTATCAATCATTCAATAAATTTTTTAAAATTATTTCCAAGTTTTTTTTCTGGTGGTATTTTTGTTTTTACCATGGAACTTTTATTTCAACGGCAAATACTTTTGAAAAAACAAAAGTAAATTTCTCTCTCTCTTTTCACTGTGTATCAAAATACAAAAATGTGAAATTGAAGTGAATTAATGTCGGAACATACTTGAATATACAGGATTTCCACAATATTTGCACAGAAAAAAACCAGAACTTCCAGCATTTAGTATTTCGTAAATTTTGTTTTTTAAGTAAAGGTTGCTTAAGTATGAGGGTTGATTGTAGAACCTCCCAAAAGAGCAATGGGGAGAGACATGTACAATAAGGATTATAAAGTTTAAAGTAAATGTGGATTTAGCCTTTTCCATCTGGCTTTGAAGTATAATAACCCGTTGCTTTGTATTTTGACATTTAAGAATTCGGCATCACCGTTGAAACACAATGCCGACGAACGGCGAATTTTTCGCCGTGAAAATAACCTTTATTTTTCTTTCAGAGACTAATTTCGTAAAACGTAAGATTAATAGTGGTTATATTTAAACACTATTTTTATATTTTGAGCTTATTTTTGCTGGGATTTCCCTATTCGTTGTCAAAGCTTCCTTATTGAAATATGGTCACCTTATCCTTTGACAGCCTTCTGCGCTAAATAACGCTCTATATGTGTTTCAGTAAGCGAATTGTCTGGGCGAAAGTTGGACGTCAGCATTGCTTAGATGGACGAAGTTCGCCGTTCGCTGGTATTGTGTTTCAACGGTTAGGCATACCATTGTGAACTGAAACTTCATCCAAACGTATTTCTTGTTGAAGGCAATATTTAAATAATTTCAGTCGCAAAACATCCCCTTATTCTTCGCCAGCATAAAAAATATATTTTTTCATTTAACGCGTAAATATCAGAAGCACAAAGAGAAAATTGTAAACATAAAAATATCAGATGACCACATTTAAATGCGGTGCGGTGACCAACCGTACGTGATTTCAAAGGACAGTCCTTTTTCTTATGGTGGTGCCCTTTGATTTTGTTTATTTTTTGATATATGTTTATATTTTGATTATTTTAAGATCTATGTTGTCTTTTTTTTTTGGAACTTACATTAGTTAACTTCATGTACAGTTATTGACTTATATTACAGCCTGCTGGATACAAAGTTTGAAGAATGAAAATAACATCCAAAATGGTTAGAAAGCTCATCATTGTCATTTACAATGTCGAGACGAGTGCATTCATAATTTTTATTGAATGTAGTAAAAAATAGAAAATGAAGATTGTACAAAACTTGCATAATTGGCTCTGCGGGTAATACCTCGCGGTAGGGACTCCCGCTAGTACCCAGTAGAGCTAAAAGCTCTTCCAAAAGGCCTCTCTGAAAGTTATTCCTTTCCCTTTTTTTGTATGGATGGGCGAAAGTTGAAAGGCTTCTGCTTTCGCTACAAAAGAAGAGCTTTCGGAGGGTCTTTTGTAGGACGTAATTCAGAGGTTCTTTTAAATATGTTCTTTAAATTCGCAAAAATCATACTTCTTTAAGGAATTTATTTAAGGCTCATAACAAATATATTTTTTGGAGACTTAAAATGCTTATTGAATTTCATTTGTAATGCTAAATAATATTAACATATACTTTAGTAGGCCAATAGCCTTAGTAGTTAGTGCCTTTTTTTGGAATATAATTGTTTATAGTTATATTTCATTTCAAAAATAAAATAAAATATACCTAAGTACATTTGTGTAAATTGTTAACAGCAAAGCCCTTTCTAAGAATATGTTAATATTTATATGGGGCAGTGGAACCCACTCTATAAGTCACTCATCATGCCCGTGCTGGTATATGGTGCAGAAGCATGGACAATGACAACATCCGAGGGAGGCCACCACTGCGACGGAAAGACCAGGTAGAGAAGGACTTGGCTTCACTTGGCATTTCCAATTCGCGTCAGCTGGCACAGAGAAGAAACGACTGCCGTGCTTTGTTGAACTCGGCCAAAATCGCTTAGGCGGTTACAGCGCCATATAAGAAGAAGAAGAAGAAGTGGAACCCTAAAAGAATTTGGATCAACATTATCATAATTTCTTTTTACAGTAGGTTCTTCTTCTTCTTCTTTTTTCTCTTATTTGACACTACAACCGTCTTTTGGCTTGGGACGAAACCAAAAAGCTTCTCCAATTGCCTTTCTCCTGTGCGA